TCCTGGGCACGTCTCCCCCTCCTAAATGAAGGGTCAGGTCCCCAGGGAGGAAGGTGAGAGCAGAACATCCCCCTGAGCACCTGCCAGAGCAGATTTTAGCAGAGGTCCCTGAACTGTGGGCWGTGCTCTGGATTCTCTCTCATCCTGCTCCTTGTATTACCCCCACTGGCACYCCTGCACGGTTCTGGGGGTGATGCTGCTGCCATGTCCTGGCACTGTCCAGGCTGTGACAGTGGGCTGACAGCAAGGTCATCAGGCACTTGTGCAGGCAAGACAGGCTCAGAATCCACAAGAATGGATTGGTGAGTCCCCAGAGGTGACACTCCATGGCCTGCCGCCCGACATCTCCACCAGCCCCTGGCACACACCCTCTTTTCCCATCTCACTGTACCAAGCCAGCAAACTGAGCCAGACAGGGACTGGTGAAGAGGGATTCTACAACTTTTCCCTGATAACCAGCAGAAGCTGACAGAGCTGGCACAGAAGGTGAGCTTAGGGATCTCCATGCCCCATGTCTGGCAGTGCACAGGCCAGCAACCCACCAGGGGTGCTCTGGCAGCCAGCTGCAAACCACCCACCAGAMGCTCACCCCAAAACGCTCATTTCTGCAGAAATTAGGGATTTAGAGAGGGTACATGATTTTATCAGTGATCTGGTCTCACTAGCCAGGCAGCCCCTAGCAGTGCTGGGCAAGGAATAACTGGGCCCCTTGGGGGAGAGTGGCACTGACAGCAGCTACCTCTGTGCAATCCCTCCAGGGGYTGCACCTGCAAACAGGGGACACCTCGGACACACCACTACAGTAAAATCCTTGCTTGACAAAGGTGTGATGTAATCAATTCCTAAAGACCCCCAACAGTGCACACTCACAAAGCAGGCTACAAAACTTGATACTTCCTCCTTTTTTTTTCCTTTGTCTGGCCTTGTTCTGATTTTCCTCAGAACTCTRGTTARAGAACTTCACATACCAGCCTGGCTYCCGGCCAACAGGTCATTGCAGCAGCAGGAGTGCTCATATCATGGGGGTTTGGGCTCTGGCCATTCCTGCCAGACCCTCAAATGGAATCTGAAAGCTGCAGATCTGTGGTCTGTGGTCTGGCTCTTCCCCTTCTGCGGTTCCCTTGATCTCTCCAGCTCAGCAAAACTGGGAAATCCTGGCATAACTTCCCTGTCATGATGCACTCATTTTCTCTCCTTGAATCTCTGGCAGAATAGAAGRAGGGAAGCATCAGCAGGGGCTGAGCATTGAGCAGAGGAGATCCCTGCAGTCCAGGGCCTGCTAATGTCCCCACCATGGTCCCCACACCCCTCGCCTGGTACTGCATAGGCCCCTAAATTCACCAAGGATGTTCTGGCAGCCAGCTGCAAGTAACCCACCATATCTTCAGTTACGCAAAAGGGCTCATTTCTGAAAAAATTCAGGGTATTTTGAGAGGTCATGTGACTTTATCAGTGTTTCAGTCTCAGCAGCTAGGCAGCTCACCCCGGGTGAGTGCAGTACCAAAACCAGCTGTGCCAYCCCCACAGGGGCTGCATCTGCCAGCTGGAGCACCCCAGACACCTGTCAGGGCCAGTAACACCCCAAAACATTCCCTGTGACAGCAAGCAATACTGCATCTCCCAGCTCTTCGGGGAGTTCAAGTGAGTTCAGCCACCCCACAGAGCCAGAGGCAGGGCCAGGGCAGAGAAGGGCTGGAGCTGAGCTGTCACCTCCGTCCTGCAGGTCCTTCTGCTGGAAGCACCAACTGGTGCAACAGTGTGGGCAGTGCAGGGGGAGCAGATCCACCCCCTCRCCCGCCAGGAGAGTTGTGGGGCCAGCCCTGCTGCAACACCCCGGTCTGTCCCACCTGCACCAGCAACTGGTCCCACCACCACTGCCTCCAGGCAGGCAGCATTGTCCCCAGCCCCTGACATCAGTCCTCATTCTAYTTCCCATTTCCAGAGCAATCACAGAATGGTTTGTTTGGAAGGCACCTCATAGACCATTTCATTACAACCCCCCTGTYGTGGGSAGGGACACCTTTCACTACATTAGGTTGCTCAGAGCCCTGTCCAAACTGGCCTCAAACACTTCCAGGGATGGGGCATTCACTTATCTGGGCAACCTGTGCCAGTGTCTCACTACCCTCACAACGAAAAATTTCCTCCTAATGTCTAATCTAGACCTACCCTCTCTCAGTAGAAAATCATTCCYCCTAGTCTTACCACTACATACCCTTGTCAAAAGTTCCTCTCCAGCTCTCTTGTGGGCCSCCTTTAGGTACTGTAAGGTGATTGAAAGCCTCTCTGGAACCTTTTCTTTTGGAAGCTGAACAAYCCCAATTCTCTTAGCCTGTCTCCACAGCAGAGAGTTCCAGCCCTCTGGACTCACTTCAACAGGTCTACACCTYTCCCCCACTGGAGACCCCATAGATGCAGTATAGAGCTTTCTGGGGCTTGGGAGCTTTCTGATCCTCTTTGTCTGCAAAACAATGAAGCGCTTCTGCAAGGACTCCKCAGGGTTTGGGGGAAGTCTCTTCCTCCTGCAGGTCCATGCCCTTGCAARTTTCCATTCTTCCACACTGATCCCACTCCTGTGTGTGTCACCAGGGGAGTTTCTGGSTGTTTGGATGCAGACAGTGGGTCCACTGCAGACTGCACTTGGAACCAGGTTTCTAACTCCTCCTCAGCCTCYGTGATGGTTCTCAGCCTTCTCACCACCTCCTGCAGCTCAGTCACCTGAGCACACCTTCACACCTCCTGCAGACAGGTCTGGCACTTCCTGCAATCTGAGGTCTGCACTGCAGCCTCTCCCCTCATCAGTTCTGTCTGGGTGGAGCCATCAAGCATTCCCAGGGTAGATGGCGTAGGCTGCAGCCTTTACTCTCAGGTGAACACCCACCATTCTGCTTTGGAGTTCAAGTAGGATGAGTGCCCTCAACCTGTGCAGACAGTCAAAGAACACATCTGGTTTCTGTGTTATGTGGGTTTCAAGTCTCTCTCTTTGGAGGAATGTCCCGTCTTCAAAGAGGTGCCCTTCCATTCTCCGTGGTTGCCTTTTGTGGTGTTGGGGGTGGCTGCCATGACTCCTGGCCCACCTACAGCTCAGCCAGGCCCGGGTAGGTCACTGTGTTGCCTTGATTGGCCAGCTTCAATACTGACACAGACACAGTTAAGGGGATAAAAAGGGTTTTACCTCAGTATTTGGGATCCCAGGAGCACAACTCAATGGAAAATGCACACCGCGTATAACATGTATACAATTCTTATTGATTTCAGGAATTAGCATATCTATCTAGGATTCCCCAATGAGAAACTTAACAAATGCAGTAATGTCCCCCTATTCTAATTAATCCCCCCCAGAATGAGGTCAGAGCCCAGTTTACACAAGATGTTCTGGACAGAAGGCTTCCCCCAAGGCTGGAACCTCAGGTTTAAGAGAGCACAGGGCACACTGACCCCTTCCTCAGGATGTTTGGTCTCTCTGCCCAGMAGAACTCCTAAACTAAGCTGGAATATCAGGCTCCAGGAATTACAAGCATGCAGGCTAAGGGTACAGGGGGATGCATAAAGGGTACAGAAAATGTATAAAAGTATATAAAAGTATATAAAGGGTACATAAAAAGGAAAGGCAAAAATCATCAGGCATCAACTGCACTTCCCTGCAGCTTCCCTGTCTCAGCACCCTCCCGATGCCCCACTCTGCTCTGGGATGTGCCTTCTCCAAAGCTGTTTGCCTAGCAAAAATCATTCTATTTTTGTTTATTTTCTTGTGAATTCATGAATCAAAAGGGGTTCTGACATGTAGGTCTTGCTTCAGCGAGAGACTGACCAGGCAGCTGCACATAGTGGTAGCTAGGTTAATTTCAAAATACTTTTTTTTTTTTAACTAGAAGATTTGCTTTGTCACTTGTGTTTTATTTTTCATTCTGYCCTAGTTGTAACATTCCTTTCTCACTTAAGGGTAAGTTTCTGTGTCCAAAGGATAACAGATGTAGTCTCTGTAAGGTCAACAGTGAGAATTCAGGTTACCTGAAAAAACTTATTTACCCTCACAGATCCAGCAGGAAAAGGCCAAATAAAGAGAGGGCAATTCCCAATTCCAGAAGGCAATTTCCAAATGTCCCCACCAGTRCACATTCAGAAAGCAAGCTACAAAACTTGCTACTTCCTTCTTTTTTCTCGTTTTTCTGGTCTTGCCCTGATTTTCCTCCAGGCTCTGGTGAGGGAGCTTTGTGCCCAGCCTGGCTCTTGCCAGCAGGGTCACTGAAGGGGCAGCAGGGTTGGTGTAACCAGGATTTGGACAATCCCTGTCAAACACCCAAATGGAACCTGAAAGTAACAGCCCCATGGCCTTTGCTTACCCTCCTRTGCTTCCCTTGACTTCTCCAGCTCAGCAAAACTGGGAAATCCTGGCAAAATTTCCCTGGTTTGATGCACTCATTTTCTCTCCTTGAAACTCTGGGGGAACAGTAGGAGCAAAGCATCAGTAGGAACTGAGAAAAACCCTGCAGCCAGCCCAGCTCCAGCCCTGCTCAGGTTCCCTCAGCCCCTGCAACACCATGAAATTCATAGAATCAAATTATATGATCATTTATATTGGAAAAGATCTCTAAGATCATGAAGTCCAACTGTTAATCCAGCATTACAAAGTCCACAACTAAACCACGTCCCTAAGCACCATATCTACATCTTTGAAACGCCTCCAGGGATGGTGACTCCACCTCTACCCTGGGCAGCCTTCTGAAAACCCTTTCAGAGTAGAAAGTTTTCATAACATGCCCTGGCTCAATGTGAAGCCATTTGTCTTGTCTGTCATTTGTTACGGGGGAGAGCAACCTTAACCTCACTACAGCCTCTTTTCGAGGAGCTGCAGAGAGCAATAAGGTCTCCCCTGAGCCTCCTCTTCTCCCATCAAACAAAACCCAGCTCCCTCGGCTGCTCCTCATAAGACTTGTTTTCTGTCAAATCTGAAAATTACAGAAGTGGCCAGCACTTCTCCTTCTGTAGTTTCTTTGCCTTCTCCAGCTCAGCAAAAGTGGGTGATCCTTACATAATTTTCCTGGTATGATACACTCATTTTCTTTCTCGAAACCCTGTGCCCACCCAGTGGCAGGGGTRTAAAAGGAGGTCAGCAGCAGCAGGGGCTACCACACAGAGGAGAGCCTGACAGACACCCCAGCTCCGGCCTCACTTGTGCCTCCTTCAGCCCTCCCAGCATCATGAGGGTCCTCGCAGCTTCCCTGACTGTTCTGCTCCTTGTGACCATCTGCTCCATGGTGGGGGCCAGTCCCAGAGACTCCAGGACTCCTGCAYCATCCCAGAAGCAAGGTAGGCTCTCCTTCCCCAGGAGAGAGCTCCGTTCCCATTGATTAGACCCTCGTGTCCATGGAGAAGGCTGGGAGCAGATGGTCATCACCAGTGCATGGACTCAGCCACAGAGATGCAGTTTTTCAGGGGGTGTCCCTGGAGGACCCAGCACAGGTGATGCCAAATCACCTGGGAGCTGCAGGCAGAGCYTCTGTCAGTGTGGGGTCTCACTGGGCCCTTCTCTCTGCCTTCACAGAAACCATCCCCGCCTGCTGCCTCACCTACATTTCCCACCCCATTCCATTCAGAACGATCCGCTCTGCCTACAGGACCGGCAACACCTGCCCACCTCACAAGCCAGCCGTGGTGTGAGTACCCAGCATTGCCGGGGTCCAGGGGACAGAGCCAGGGCAGCACCCCAAGGGTGTCCAAGATTGTGCAGGATGGGGAAGGGCATGGAYAGGGACACCCAGGGTGCTGCCAGCTGGGCTTAGCACAGGTATCCTGTTGCCCTGGCTGAGTGCCTCAGCACCTTTCTTCCCCAACAGCCTGGTCACCAGTAGGGGGAGAAAGATATGCGCAGACCCCGAGGCTCCCTGGGTGCAGGAATACCTGAAGCRCTTGGAGCTGTCGGTGTAGTGACTCTTCCCTGCTGCTGTCCAAGGCAATGGGCTCGGCCCCCAGCACCARACCTGCAGTGAGAGTGCTTGAGCTTCATCCCTCTTCAGCGGGAAAATTAATTACAATTGACATACACTTGTTAAAATTTTTGCTTGCTTAAATGTCTGAATAAAGTGTTTGGTTGTCAAACCCTTTGGGTGTCTCTGAAGTWCCTGCTGGAGCCCCAGCATAACAGAAAGGACCCATGGGGAGTCGTCTGCCCTCCCCACTCCCTGGTTTCACTGCTACCCATTGTACAGGGAGGCCCCATAATAGTTCCTAAAGTACTTCCCCTTCCCCAGCCCAYACTCAGCTCCTGCTTCCCACTATGACCCAGACGTACCTGTGGGGTGACACTGGCATCTCATCCATTTCTTGGGGCCCTCCCTACACAGCACATGTGGAGTCCGGTAACAAACCCGATGGGCCAGGCAGCACTGCTGGGCATCCCACCAGCTCTTTGACATATTTTACCCAAACACCAGAGGATCGGGACAGTCTTTGACTACCTGATATCCCCASTCCTAGCCATCTCCTACACTACAGGCCACTGCAGTGGTGGAGCTGAGGTCCTGGTGCTGCCAGGTGCTGCTGTCCCCATATACACACCCTGYGCCACAGCGCTGCCAGAGGAGCACTGACACCAGCTCTCTCCTCACACCATTACCCAGGGCTGGAGAAGTGAGCAGGACATCTCTGCAGCTGACACCAGCTCTGCCCCAGGGCCACACTCTGCCCTACAACACTTCTGCTTGGGCCAGGACACACAGAACCACACCAGCACTGGTCACTTGAGGTCACAGAGGTAAGGGCACTGGAGAATGACACCCAACAAACCAACACAAGCAAACTAATGGTGCTGCAGCCCCTCTCCACTTCTCAAAATCTCCAGTGTAGCTCAAAAATTCAGGCAAACAAATGCATAAAGCTGAGCACAAGCACACTCAATACTACAAGAAGAGTGGGAACCTGTTAGAGTTTATATAGCATAAGTTGAATTTMTTTGCAGAGAGCCTGGAAACTCAATCTTTACTTCAAATGACAAACAAGTCAAAACCACCTATTTCAAAATGACTCAAGAATACATACATACATTGTAATAATAAGACTAAAACAAGCTCGAAWCCCTAAAACTKWTGTGGAGARCTGCACAAGATTTTGGCAAGGTTGATGGACTTCTCTCTGCATCCTAAGTTTGCTGTACTTCAATGTGTATTTCAATTCTCACTACAATTGCTCTTCAATGCAATCTATGCTGCAATTCTTTTGCCCACTTCTGCAATTTAGTCTTATAGAAAGAGCTTCTAGGTTAATAATACTGAAAATCTCTGACTTAGAAAATGTGAAAGAGAAAACACAATACTTTTAWATTGCTTACAAAGCAAAAATGAGAGCCCAGTAAAAATCCTCCCTGGGGCATTGTTTTCAGAAATCTCATTTTAGTTTAGTCAAACTATTTGTTATAGGGCTGCCTTATAATGCTCAAAGGCTTAGTGTTCACTGTAGTACAGAGCTACACTTTAGTTTGCTCAAGGTCACATATGAGACCTGAGGTGAATTTATGAATGTTTGCCTGTACCACCAGTTAATCCCAAGAAAGTAATCCCAGAAGCACCTTGCTAAACAAACTCAACACAAAATTGTCTAACTATGCTGAAAAAAGCTACTACACAAGCCTTGAAGTGTACAGAAGAGGATCCATCAAGACAAGAAAGGAACCAATTTCTTCACTGCCTTCCCCTCAGAACAACTACATGGAGTGTGCCATGTATCTCCTGCGCTTCTTTCATAGCACCATTATATTTTAGCAAATTAAACTGGGGACAATACCAACCCTGGATTAAATACTATGCATTTTCACAGCATTGTGGAGGGGTTTTTTTTTTTCTGAATACAGTCTGACTGAATCCCCTCCCAAGACTGTTGATCACTGCACTTCTCAGCTGGCTCTTGTGGAGGATGCACTGAGGTGGGAGATGGCACCATCAGGACTGGCTCTCCTGCCCAAGAGCTGCACTCTGAGCACATATCACCGAGCCCAGAGTCATTCCCACATTTCACCCCTCGAGAATAACACARCCTACGTGTCCTCGCATTTCTCCCAAAACCCCTCCTCCCCACACCACCATCCATCCCTCTGTGCTGCCCCGGGTACAGGTGTTCTTCTCTGCCGGGGTACAGGCGTACTTCTCTGGAAAACCGGTCCCCATTCTTGCCTTCCACCTTGCCCGGGCTGCCATTTCCGTTTCTGTGTACTCTTGGACACTGAGCTAATATCTGAAAACTTTGTGTGATGAAAGCAGTGCTGTTCGAACCCACCACGACCCTTTCTCCTCGCACAGCTGACATCAACATCTCGCTGCGGGACACATCTAGTGTTGGCTGCGGTTACTACACGCTGGGGGGAAAACTACTCACAAGATTAGCCACATTCAGCATATTTTGTGAAGCAAGAGCTCAGGAGAATGGCACGAAGATAAACAACTCAAACCTAACCCTCCTCACGCTCCTCTAACCACTGGCTGCACTTTCGACCTTAGCGGGCCTCGCCTCCCGTGTGCCCTCACAGMCCTCGCCGCAAGGCATCTCGGGAGTTGTAGTTCCCCACACGGCGCGACATGGCGGCTCTGCGGCTGCTGCCGGCCCTCGCCGCCGCKCTGCTCCTCGCTGCTGCCGGCCAGGCCAGCAAATACTCCCGGGAGGCCAACGAGGGGCTGGCGGCCACCGGCGGCAAGCGGCGGGAGGCCGGGGAGTTCCGCGTRGTGAGGCTGAACCAGGTCTGGGAGAAGGCGCAGCGGGTGAGTGGGACGGCGCGGGGCGATGGCGGTGGTTGGAGGGGGCCCCAGGGTCGGGCCCGGCCGCTTCAGACACTCATTCCCTGCCGGGGAGATGGGGAGGAGCCGGACCTGTGTGTGAGGAGAGACCGAGGCTGTCCGGCCCCGGTTCTGGGCTGCCGTGGCTTTTATTCAGTTCTCGGGCATGGCTGTTCCCGACCGTGAGGAGCGAGGGACGCGCTGAGCCCCCCTCAGTGCCGTGGGGACTGTCCCGGCGGAGGGAACAGCCTTCTCTTGGGAGAGGAGATGTGTGTTTGTGTCCTGGGAGGTGTTGATCTGCCCGTGTTTAAATGCAGCAGCTAAACCACATGCCCAGGACGTGGGAGGGAGAGGGAAGCGGCTCTGGTGCCATGGAGGATGTGCGGCTGGCTCCAGTGCCCGCCGGTGGAATGCTTTAGCCCTGTTGTTCAGGAATGTGATGCTCTCATCTGTCTGACGGCGGTGCCTTTGGCTCCCWCTCTGCACAGGACAGGAATTCACTGCACAGGAGAGGAGGAAACTCTCCRCCTTGGTGATTGTGTCACCTTCGTTCACACCAAGTGATGTGGGCACGTGGGAGGACCAGCAAATGAGTATCACCATTCCCAGATGAAAGTCTTAATTTTGATGGTGATACTTGAGTGTCTCACGCGCTGGTCTACAAAAAATATTGAATTACAGTGAAAATACAGTCAATTTATTCAATTACAGTGGAAATACTTACTTAGAACTAAACGGAACAGCTCCAACAGGAGAAGAAGAGTTCACTGCATATATCCCTTGAATATTGTAGACCATGGGAATTAGGGTTATGACTGGCAAAGGTTTGCTTCTTTCAGGTAAAGAAATAGAGTTAATTTCAGATCTTGTGTATCCTGAATAGCCTGAGCTATTAAACTGGAGGTAGAGCATCCCTGGGTTCAGCCAAAAACTGTAGCCATGCTGTAGTGCTGTTTCCCAATGTGCTAAAAGAAGGTATCAAAAATACTCCTTTCCTYGATGGAAGAAGGATGGAATGGGGCATAGGACAGTGTGTGAATGAAACTCCACCTGTGAGGTGACAGCTGAAAAAGAAACAACTCAGAGACTAGAATTAATCTGTAATTATACTGTTGTCAGTTACCTCTCACCTTTCCAATTACAGTCTTTTCTCATACCTGGGTCTTCTGGAATTAAAATTTGAGATGCTTTACATGGTCTATGTTAAGATATTAAAATATAAAATGAAGTTAACTCTGTCAGTAAATAACTACGGTTTAGTAAATTTTTTATGTGTGTCCCATATTTTAGAGATGCAGAACATCCTTGAACTAAATTTGCCATCATCTTAATTTCACTTTCGAGACAACTGATACCCAGCATGTGTTTTATAAAGTTATTTTTCAGTATGTCTGGAAAATATGTGAAATAAGAGGAAAACTATGCCTGTGTGTTACATCTGCTTTGATATACTTGCATACACCAATGCATAACTCTTCATTCCTTTATTTTGGTAGTGGTAGAGATAGTACTGAAAATAGGGAACTTCTTTGTTTTGACATGAAAGACAGATATTTCAATTCAGCATTGCAACACACAATTGGATGAGCAGTCCTTTAAGAGCCTCAAAATGTTCCTTAGACCAGAACCAGGAGCTGGCAAGCCAGACTCCCTTCTTGATTCCCTGAGGGTGATGGAAGGGAGGGTTTGGTATTTCTCCAGCATCTCTTTTGATAAATAGTAAATTTGTAGTAMAGAGCTCTTTCCTCTTGGAGGCAGGAGTGTAGGTAAGGATGGTGCAGGTTATGATTATAGCCAGCCAAACAGCAAATGACTTAATTGTTGTAATGTTTGACAGTTTTCCAGCACTCCTTCCCAGAATTGCCAGGTACCTGTCTTGGATGTTAATGTCCAGGCAGCATAAGGAATGAGGAGTAAGGAATGAGTGTGAGAAACTTGTTGCTTTGTTATTTAATCATTAAACTTAGCTTTTCATCTCTGCTTCTAGTTAGTTATTCCAACATGTGAGTGATTTTAGTTAAGTGGTGAGTCTTATCCRTTGGCATTTTTTACTTAGTGTAGTCAGGGTCCTACATGAGATGACCTTAAAGGAAGCAGTTCCTTAACTGAATACTTTAAATTAGTTTAAAATACTGCTGGCTATTTTTATCTTGTATTTGCTCAGCATAACTACATATGAAGTCCACACTACTTGAATGTTAGAGTATAGAATTACTGAGATGCTTGGCAATTTGTAGCAAACCTTTCAGTCTTCCTCCTGAAGCTCCAGGGCACAATTCTTGCTGAGGGAAACGTTGATCTTTGGTGCCACTGCAGCAGTGAC